ACAAAACACATGGGATCAATAGGAAACAAATGGCAAGACGGTCTTGGACCCGTCATTGAATAATTGATAATTGATAATTCCATTGAATAAAAGTGGTCTAAACACTCTAATTAGCAGACAGAGATTTATAGATGGAATAAAAAAGCAAAACCTAACTACAGATGAACAATGTGGGGGTCAGGGCCACCAACCCTTACACTGCAAAAAATCCAAATATAACTTTTCACTCCCCAAAGACTTAACTACTACTATCTTACTGTTGACCAAAGCCTTATAGATAACGTAGTCAATTAACACATATTTTGTATGTTATGTGTGTTATATACTGTTTTCTTAAAATAAAGTCAGCTGGAGAAAAGAAAAAGAAAGTCATAAGGAAGAGTACTATCCTGTATTTAGATACCGTAAGCTCTATGGTCTGTTTACAAGATGAATCGTCTGTCTGAACTGGTGGCAACCACTGGTGGCAACCGCAGCTGCAGACCTCAATCTACAGTATCTATCAAGCAATCAACTTCTTCTTGTAATGTCATGACTTTTCTTAGGAGCACTGCCAGCATCACTGGTGGAACTTTGTGTGGGTCCCATGATGTTACTAAAGGTTTAAGATATTGCACAAAACATGATTTAAAAAATGCACAAGGACTGTGAAAGACCACTTTTTATTGTTATATGCTCTTTATTAGAGAGATAAGTTGCTCAGGTAGAGTTGATTACATCACATGGCATTTTAAGCAGAGATGTGCAACACTTGAGCTCTCCACAACAGCAATAGCAGGTGGCTAGGAAATTATTACAGTATGAACTACAGTTAATTTTATACGGTTATGATTTAATACTGAATCTTTAAATTGTTTACATTTCTTTTGACTGCAAATGGCGCCACGTATGGTCTGTGTTTGTGTACGTTTTGATAAATTTAAATTTTTATTATAGATATGTGTATACTTTGTGGTAGTAAATGATACAATAGGCTAATATTTACATATATTTTAGTGACTCATGATGTACCTAACTTTTTCTTAAGTTTTAAAATATTTCTAGGCTATGTATTTCACCAGTGAGTTTTTTCAAATTGTCACAAATCTTCAAAAAAAATTTCCAATATATTTATTGAAGAAACTCCATGTATTAGTGCACCTATGTAGTTCAAACCAACATTGTTCAAGTCTCAACTGTATATGCTATCTGCAAGAAATGCACCTTAAAAAACAGTTCAATTTAAAATAACGATAGAAGAATGTTGGGATTCAATCAGAATGGTGGCAGTAATATTAAAGGGAAATATTAGGGAAAGTTATAGGGAATAGTCACAAACCTTTTGGAAGGCTGAAAGGTTACATAGCTTGTAATAATTGAACAAGCTGAAGGCAACTGGTTCTTACCTTAGAGCATTAGGTCACAGGGTAAATACTAGGGACAATAGAGGCTTCCCCAGTTAAGTCTGTTTACCCGACCTTCATTAACTAACCTTTGAGCCAGATGACCCTCTCGGGAGGAGGTCTACTAAGCACATTGCCCCCTAATGGTATTTACTTCAGACCACAGTACCTGAGCTTTAATCATTCGTAGAACTACTCTCTTAACCATGTTAATTATCCACAAGTGTGTTGACTTAGAGATTCTGTTGTTAATTGTATACGAAATTAATGCCTAGAGTGTGAGCTGCTCAGGGCCAGCCGCAGTGATAAGCCTCTCTTGGTATGCAGGCAGTCGGACATTCAGCTGGACTGGCAAAACAGAATATCTGTGTGTCAGTGTCCGTTTTATTCATCCATCGTTTGGGTCAAGGTCTGTGGGCAGACCCCGCAGCTAATGCCCTCAAGTGTGAGGAGCCTTACCTCAGAAGAATATATATACCATGTAAATATTTATTACAAGAAAACTGGAGGGATTATATTCCTAGTATACAAAGTGGAACTCAGGACAAGAAATATTATCCACAGTAAAGAAGGACCATTTTATAATGGTAAAAAGTTAATTCCTTAAGAAGACCTACCAATCCTAAATCTGTATGCACCTAATTAAAGACAATTAATATGCATGGAATAAAAACTGAAAGAACTTTAAAAAAGACAAATTTATGAGATGAAGATTTCAACACCCCCTCTCTGTCACTGTTAGAATAAGTAGACAAAAAAATGAGGAAATACATAAAATATTTGGACAATAATATTAATGAGCTAGACTTAGTTGACATTTATAGAATGCTCCACACAATAAGGCAAATAACATCATATTTTTCAGTGCACTTAGACTGTTAACCAAGATAGACCATTTGCTAGGCCATAAAATAACTAAAATAACTAAAAAATTCTATGGATTTCAAAAGTGTGGAATCATGCAGAACATGTACTCAGACCACAACAAAATTAAACTAGAAATAAATTTTTAAAAATCTGGAAAATCTCCAAGTATTTGGGAATTAAATGGTACTTCTCTCATTAACACATGGGTTAAAAAGTAAAGAGAAGGGAAATTGGAAAATATTTCCAACTAAATAAAAAGAAAAAATACACAGAGAAATTTATGTGATAGTATTGAGACAGAAAATTAAAAGTTTTAAATGGTTACATTATAAAACACAAAAGATCTAAACTCGATGACCCAAGAAAGTTAGCAAATGAAGAGCAATATAAATCCAAAAAAAAGAAAGCAAGAAATAGGAATACAAAATAAAGAACACTAATGAAACAAGAAGTTGGTTCTTTTAAAAGATCAATAAAATTGATAAATTATAGACTAGTAGTGCAAAAAAGAGGAGACATAAATTAGTAATATCAGAAATCTAAAAGGAGATATCACTACAGACCTTGCAAATATCACAAAGTTAATAGAGGTATTATGAGCAATTTTATGCTGTTTTATACATTCAATCACTTGGATGAAATGAAATTATCTAAAGACATATATTGCCTAAATTCAGAAAAGAAGAAATAAAACATCTGAATAACCTTATAGCTACTACAAAGAACAACACAGGCCCAGATGGCTTCACCTGTCAATGTTACTAATCCTACACAAACTGCTTTAAGCAAAAGAAAAACCTATCCCTACTCATTTAATAAGGACAGATTTATCATGTAGACAAAGACACTACAGCCTAAACATATGAAAATCTTTAACAAAATGTGAAAATCTTTAATATAATGAATCCAGCAATATATTAAAAGGTTAAAAAATCATTAAGAAACAGAACATATCTCACAAATATAAAGTTGGTTTAACATTTGAAAATTAACCAGTGTAATTCGCCATATTAGCAGAATAAAGGGAAAATATGAGTATCTTAATGGATGCAAATTAAAACCACACTGAAATACCAGAACACACCCATTAGGATTGCTAGAATTGAAAAGGCAATATCAAGTGTTGGCAAGAATATAAGGCAACTAGAACTCTCACATTATTGGAGAGAATGTCTGCATTACAAGCACACTGGAAAATGTTTTGGTCTTTTCTTATAAAATTAAATATATCATACAGCTGAACAAGTGGTCTCTGAGATATTTATATTTATGCAAAAAGGAATAAACACACACCCACACAAAATTTGTTTTTAAATATTCATACAGATGTTATTTATAATAGCTACAAACTGAAAACAACTCACAAATCCATCCAGTGGGAATTTATCACAGAAACTATTGAGTATCTTCACAATGGAAGACTATGCAGCAATAAAATGCAATGAACTGTCAATATACGCAAAAGTATAGATAAATTTCAAAAAATTAATTAAGCAAAAGAAGTTGGACTTAAAAAAAGGTATGTACGTTTAACATACTTAAAAAAAGTATGAGTATGTACTTAAAAAAAGTATGAGTCTTTTTACATATTAGGACAGGCAAAACGAATCTATAAGTACTGAAAGCTGATCAGAAAATGATTGGTGGCCATTAGAGAAAGAGGTTGAATGGAAAGGGTCATAGGAGGATTTTTGGAGGTGATGTGTCTTAAATCTCGATTCTGGCTGTAGTTACACAGGTGTACATTATACAGTTGTTAAACTAATTACACTGTACATTTAAAATGAGTGCAATTCATCAATAAAGTTGACTCTAAAGATCAAAACAAAGCAGAGAGAAGGCAGTAGTGGACAAATATAAATATGAAGATCTTGTCCAAGAGCTTTCTGAGGAAATAAAAGTCCAATTTACATTTTTAAAAAGTCCACCTCTGCCAACACAAATATCAAGGCAGAAACTTCCAGGGGATGCCTCAGCAGCAGATTTGCTCTGCATTGTTCTTCTACTTCATCTTTCCTTTGTTGACCTCTTTTATATTTCAGGTTGGTAGTTAAACTCAGGTTGGTAGTTAAAAATTAGTGACATATATTGTTCTAAATGATGGCAGAAAAAGGAACTATGTGAAATACACAGATGGCAAACCTGCATTGTAGCTTGGTATTTATAAAAGATATGCATACTCATTGTGAAAAATTTTAGAAAAACATAAAAAATAAGAAAATAATCTTATGTATCTCATTAATCATAAATCTCAGTAATCTCATTATGAGGAGAGGGAAATATACACTATATATAAACAAATATTTACTCATTGATTACGATGTGCCAGGCATTGTACTGGACATAATGAACAAAATGAAGTTTTTTCCCAGGTGGGAGAGACAGCCATTACTCCAACAATACACAAGTGCACATAGTATTTTACATAGTGTTTTGTCACATGCTTGCACACGTATTGCAAATATATTTCCATGTCATTTAAGCTTTTGTTCAATAGTGTTTTTTTTTTTTTTTCTTGAACAGAGTGTCACCCTATTACCTAGGCTGCAGTGCTGTGGCTCAGTTTCCGCTCACTGCAACCTCCACCTCCCAGGTTCAAGCGATTCTCCTGCCTCAGCCTCCTAAGTAGCTGGGATTACAGGTACCTGCCACCACACCCGGCTAATTTTTGTATTTTTATTAGAGACGGGTCTTCACCATGTTGGCTGGGCTGGTCTTGAGCTCCTGACCTCAAGTGATCCACCTGCCTCGGCCTCCTAAAGTGCTGGGATTAAGGCATGAGCCACCGTACCCAACCTGTTCAATAAGTTTTAAAGCATACATAGTATTCCAATGTACAGTTTTACTACTTTCTTCTTTAGCCAAATTTTCTTTTATTAACAATTTACATAATTCTCCCCACTTTCTATTTTTGGTTATTAATAACAATACTAATGTAGCAAAATATTTGGACCTAGTTCCTGAGGATTATAAATTCTAAGAAATGAAATTTGTTTTAAAATATAGATGCTGTATAATTTGCAATGTGTTGATAGATCTGTAAAAAGTTAGACATTTTCTTCACCTGGATGTTTATGTGTTTGGGTTGCCAGTGGTCTTATTGAGATGCAGTAAGAAAAAATTTAATTGTTTACTGCGATTCTGCCTCCTCTAAATTTTATTCTTATAAAATATTGAAGTCTCAGGGAATAAAATACAGAATCACAGGTTGTCCTAGTTCTGAATTTTCTCAATTTAACCTTTAAAACTTTACATTGTTGCAAACTAGCCCAAGTAAACAAATGTATATCCCAGAGAGTATTATGAAAACACAATTCTGACATGCATTCTTCTTTCAATGATTCACATTCTCCATAATTTAATCTAGGGGACTACAAATGCAAAAAAATAAGAGGCTGAACTGGCTGTGACTTTTAATTCCAATACTGATTTCCCAGAGCTTGCTGTGGATTATTCTTGGCAAGTATTTCCATGCTAAATCTGTTCCTTAGAAAACTCGTGGAGGTGATCTCATTCTGTCTATGCAATTCTTTTTGGCATTAATGGGACACTACATAAAGATCAAATACATAAAACATCAGCTAAAACACTTGTAGCAACAGAAACAGCAGTTTATACAAATAGAATTTATATGAGTTATTTCTGCCATGTTTCCAACAAATAAAGCTATAAAGCTTTCAATAGCTGAGGCATTCTAACTCATTGAAGAAAAGCAGTTTACCATAAAGGGGATTGTTTTCTTCTCTACCTCTGCAGGTAATTTATTTTGAGATTGATAGGGGTTCTATAACACTTTAAAGAAAGGAAGTGCTCCTTTTTCAAAAGGTGTTTATCCTTAAATGTAGTTAACAAATCTTCTTTTACAAGACTGTAAAGGGCATTCTGAAGATTGCAATATGTACATAATTATAATGCTCTATCCAACATCAGAAACTCAGAAGAGCTAGGTGGTAGTAGCCAAGAGTGCTAGGAAACCACAGTAGTCCAGGGTTTTTTGTTGTTATTGTTGTTTTAAGTTTCTTTATCCCCACTTCCACAATCCCCACAAGTATTTAATCTAAAATTAAAGGCATATAGGCTTAGAGAAGTACTGATCTTCTGTGAAATCCACAGAGATCCTTATATTTTGATAACGATAATTTATTCACAGCAGAGAAACAGGAAAGGATTGTGGAAAAATGCAATTGTTCTTTAATAGCAGCTCAATATTATAGGCTATGGTCCTCTAACTTTAGATCTTAAGCTTAGTGATCTCTGGCAATTATAACTTCAATAATAATTTCTTTCTTAAAACAATTATAAGTAAAAGTATTTCACACATATATCTCTCCTCTATTCAAGTTATTACTTTCAGCTATAGAATGCATGCATGTATGAATTAAGTGAATTTAGGGTATGTTAATATTAGACCTTGTGTGATACACTATGAAATTTAAAGGTGGAATACTAACAATTCAATACAGTAAATTAGATTTTCTATTTATATAATGTAGAAGAATTCAAAGTATTTAAACCATTTGCCTTACTCTGTCTCAACATTTAAAAGAACAATATAATTGTGATGTTGGTCTATTATATGTTCTGAATATCACTGGTTGTGGCCTAATTTCCTAATTTATTTACCTACAGCCACATTTTGTATCTGCTTGGATGGTTTGGTTTCAAGTAAAAGAACACCGAGTTAAAAGTGGTTAAAGGTCAATAAAACTAAAGTAACACAATTCCAGGGCAGAGGTGTCAGCAGGTTCACAGTGCAGATCTCTGGATCCACTGAGTCTGCACAGTCTCTGCTTCCACTCACCCTTGTGAGGTGGCTGTCACAGCCACACCCCACACCCCATGTCACAGAATTCAAAGGCCACAAGACAGGAGCAGGCACTTCTCCTAGAGCATCTCCCTCTCATCAATGAAGAAAATAATTCCAAGAAGAGTCCCACCCCCGAGAATGGATTTCTTTTCCGGTCTCCTTGGCCAAAAAAGATAATAAGCAAAGACTTAGTTGAAAGAAAGACTAGTAGGAAAGCAAGTTTCTGGAATTTCAGCACCGGTAGTGGGAGGCAAGCTTAGGTCTAAAAAGGAAGAAAGGCTGGGCCAGAGAAAGGCCGTTGGCCAGGCAGCCACAACACTTTATGTATAAAGCAAGAAAACTCAATCATCTCACTTGTGAGTCTTATTGTCCTGGGGCTTTGATAGCGGTTGCAGTGATAGAAAACAAAGCATTTCCTTTGCCAATTTGCTTTCCCACTTTCTAAGACAACTATTTCACAATGTTCTCTTTTCCTCAGACTTCTAAAAGCTTCCTTCTCTTCGTCACTCTCAGTTTATGGCCTGGCCCCTTACCTCAGTTAAAATCTAGAAGCATTCCTGAGAAAATTTCCAGGTTTCTTGCCATTAACGCTACTATCCTACTGGGACCCTAAGCCCTAGACCGCATTCCTCACGCAGCTGATGGACTGCCAATCTCATGCCGTATACAGGGACCCTTGCCTACTCAAGGTCTCGAGTCCCCAAATTACCTTAGTCTCTCTCCTATACCATCATTCTTCTCTCTGTTGGAGTGATTCCATCCACCTGCCCATATGCTGCAATCTCTCCCTACTGTCAAAGATAAACAAGGTCAGACATTAGTCAAAACAGTGAAAACAGATCTTCAGTAATTGCTGACAATAGGGGAAAGGGCTGAGCTCGATTCCAGCTTGTGCAGAGGTGACTGGGTGTTGTGAAGGGAGTAGGAAGGGGTGAGAAGACGTTCAGTAGAGTCAGGGAAGTAAAAAATTACAAGAGGTTGATCAGTGAAAGTGCGATTGGGCCAGCTGTATACTCTACCTGGCAACTATCGAAGTTAGGATTCCGTCCTCCATAAACACTGGGAGACAGAGGCTCCATTCTTCCTGAGGGGCGCTGTTGTCTTTGAGAAAGACACTCCTGAGTTATGGGAGACATATATACACCTTACAGAGAAAAAGAAGGATTCTCAGTTGTAACCCCTTTTAAGAAAATAAGAAAAGCAGGCATTTTAATGGGGAGGGGGAGGGAGCATCCAGGAGACAGGGCCTTATGCTGCTAGGAGCCATGCTAGAGTTGGGTTGTCTCTTAGTGCAAACGTTTGGATGGAGTCATTTCATGCTGAGAGTTCTGCAGTCCTCACTTCTTAATAAAGCAAAACAAAAGAAAACCATCCTTTTTGGAGTCCATTGATCTAGCCAAACATCTTAGAACAGCCAGTTCTGCTAGCTGCTCCTTCTTCACCTCTTATTTTATCCTCAGCGCATTCCTGTCAGGGTTTCCAACCCACCACTTCACTTCACCATTCTCATTATCACTGTTTACCATGACAAATTTAGCAACAACGTCATTTTTTTCCATTTACCCAAAATGTAGTTTTTGATACAGCCGAACAATCTCTTTATCTTGAAACAATTCCTTCCCTCGGCTTCCAGGGCACTGTGCCCAATTTGGCTCCTACACACTCGCAGCTCCTGATCCTCTCAATGTAGAAGCATCCTGGGGCTCTGGCTGGTTGCGTTCTTTTTTCTCTACCAGAGGTCTGTGTTTCTCTTCAAATTTTCATAGATTTAAATACTCTGACCTCCTCACCAGTTTTCAGACTTGTATGTCTACCTGCCCACCTGACATATCTTCTGACAGGCAACTTACAATCCTAAGTACAGCTATTGATTGTCCCTGTGTCTTAGTTCATTTTCTGCCGCTTACAACAGAACTGAAACTGGGTAATTTATAAAGAAATGACTGGATTTTTTTTTTTTTTTTACAGTTATGGAGACTGAGAAGTCTAAGGTCGAGAGGCCACATCTAGTGAGGGACTTGTTGTTTGTGGGAACTCTCTGCAGTGTCCTGAGGCGGTGCAGGGATCACATGGTGAGGGGACTGCATGGGTTCACATGCTAGCTCAGGTCTCTCTTACTCTTTCTATAAAACAAGCAGGCCCATTCTCACGATAACCATTGAGCCATTCATTCATTCATCCATAAATGAGCCCTTATGACTGAATCACCTCCTAAAGGCCCCCCACTCTCAATATTGCCACATTGGGGATTAAATTTCAACATGAGTTTTGAAGGGGACATGTAACCCTAGCAACCTTCACAATCAGCTCCTTCCCCAGTCTTTTCTGTCTCAGTAAAGGTCATCTCTATTCATCCAGTTGTACAGGTCAGAAACTTAGTATTCATTCTTTCCTTTCCCTCACTCTCTGCAGCTAATCTATTAGCAAGTTCTGTCATCTCTGTTTTCAAAATGTATCCCAACCTGTTTACTTTTTCTCACTTCCATTGCTGCCTACCACCATCCCCTTTAGCTTTGATTATGCACTGGCCTCCTAGCTGGTTTTGCTTCCACTCTTGCCTACCTATAGTATAGCATCCACATGACTTCCTGTTTCACTCATAATAAAATTCCAAACCATGCCTGCCCTGTGTAAGACCTGCATGATGTGGCCCCTGCCTAACTCTGAATGTATCTCCTATGTGCTTCCTTTTAAGCATTTGGTTCCAGGCACCAAGTCTCTTGACTGTTCTTGACATACCTGTATTCTCAACATTTACTCAGTTGCTGTTCATTTTACCAAGAAAAATGTACTTCCAGCAGACCCTCACATAACTTACTCCCACTTAATTCACATTTATATTCAGATACTGTGTACGGGAGTCTTCAAGGATCATCCTATTTAAAAGAGCACCTCTCGCCAGGCATGGTGGCTCACGCCTGTAATCCCAGCACTTTGGGAGGCCGAGGTGGGAGGATCGCAAGGTCAGGAGATCAAGACCATCCTGGCCAACATGGTGAAACCCGTCTCTACTAAAAATGCAAAAATTAGCTGGGCGAGGTGGCACGCTCCTGTAGTCCCAGCTACTGAGGAGGCTGAGGCACGAGAATCACTTGAACCCGGGAGGCAGAGGCTGCAGTAAGCCGAGATCATGCCACTGCACGCCAGTCTGGGTGCCAGAGCGTCTCTCACTGCCACTCCCACATCAATTTCTATTTCCCTATTCTGTTGTATTTTTTTCGTGCCATTAAATATTCATGTGTCTACCTGACATATTTAAATGACATTGTATTAAATCTAATATATTGAATTATATTAATATTAAATGACATTATATTAAATGCTGTATTTTTCATGTCACTTATCTCACCTTGACAATATAATAAATCACTACCTAATATTAATTTGTTGTGCATATATGATATGTACCTACTTACTACAGTGTAAGCTCTCTTGCCATATCCCCATCACGAAAACAGTGTTGACACATAGCAACAAGTACTATATCTTTGTTGAATGAATGAAAATAGTGCTAATCCCTTTAACACTGTGGAAGAGAAAAGGGTGGTTTTGAGGGTATAAAATCCCTGCATTATATAAACTTTTTTATTTTAAATAATAATTACATTGGGTGATGTAATACGGCCAGAGCTGTGGTGCTGTCAGGAGACTGTTGTATTTGGCAAATCTAGATAATTGACAATATGTATGTAGAGTCTGATTATAAACTTCTAGGAGAATAGGAATCATGTCTATTTTACTCAATTTTCCTAGCTTTTGCAGAGCTAGGTTTGAGAGCCTCCTAACGGTGGTAAGGAGGACATCATTGTTATATGGCTGAACAGCAAATATTTCTTTAATACTTTAGTAAGTGGTTTTCCCTGAAAATACATACTGAAACTGAATCAGGAAATATACATACCTGGGTAAAGAAGACATCTAGATGTTTATCCAGTTGAAACTGAATGAAGTTTCTATTGGAAAGCTATTTTACCAGATGAAAAAGTAAAAAAAAAAAAAAAAAGAAAGCTATTTTAAATATATTTTATGTTGATATCATACAAGCACAGACAAGTAATTTTTGTCTTTACATACTAACAGGCCAGCAATTTTTGTTCTATATGAAGCACAATACATACTTATAGCATCTCCTGCACTAACTCAAACTGAACACTGTCTTCATCACATTTTCCAAAATTATGTATAGTGAATAGCAAGGTACAGCATTATGATTTTCTTTCTAAGTTCTGACTCAAATGTAAATATTTACATGGTACTCATGGTGCTTATACATCACATCTGTTCATTTTAGCAATTAGTAGAAACATTGCATAAGAAACAGAACCAAAACTCTTGCTTAGATCTTTGTGAATTTACTAGGAGCATTTTCGCTGAAAAAACAACCTCACAGCCATTAAAACACCATTAGAATTCTTTCAAGTTCAGGCATTGACCTCAGAAATAGTAATGGGAGAGAGCGATAAATTAACTGAGTTGTAGATCATTGGACTTCAAATCCTCCTCTGCGGAACTTTACAAGATGTCCCTGGGTTGCTGAAGTGGAGTCTCACCCTTTCATTCCATTTCAGCTGGGACAACTCCGCTTTCTTCCATTTCAAACTTTGGCATGTCGCGTATGATTTGGTGCTGAATTTTTTAAAAATTAAAAATCTCTGTGTTCGCTGTTAAATGCCTAATGACAAGGTTAAGTGAAAGCCACAAATAGAATGAAATGGAGGAGATAAAGAGTGTTTTCTGATATGCTCTTTTCCTTATGGATTTCAGAATAAAGATATTTATTCCAGCATTCATTCCTTGATTCATAAATATTTGTTGAGCAAAAATTATAAACTTGGCACTCTGAGCATCCTTAGTATTAGCAAAAATAGAAAAGAAAATCTGAATGTTCATCAACATGGAGATGGTTGAATATGTTATGGTAAAACCAATCTCTGGAAAACTATGCAACTGTAAAAAATTGTAAGTTGAATCTGTTGGTATTAACTTAAACACATGTTCAAAATATGTTCAATGAAAAGCAAGTTATAGAGACTATGTATATGATATATTCATATGCTCATATGTATATATTATACATGTATATGATATAGAGAATATGACTTCATTTTTATAAACAAAAGGAAAAAATAGAAAAGAAAATCTGAATGTTCATCAACATGGAGATGACTGAATATGTTGTGGTACAACCAGTCTCTGGAAAACTATGCAACTTTAAAAAATTGTAAGTTGAATCTGTTAATACTAACTTAAACTTTTAATTTTAAATAATAATTACATTGCATGTGCTCACATGCTAGCTCAGGTCTCTCTTCCTTTCTTAATATAAATGGGTGTTTGTATGTGTTGACATGACAGGGAGAGGGTATGGCAGAATACAAAGAAAATTGCTTCTGTTGTTTTTCTAAAAGTTTGGGAATGGAGAGGGAGGGTTGGATACATATACAGGAGAGTTAGGGACTATTTATATATGTATACATTTCTGTATTGTTTGGCTTGTCATGATGAGCACACATTATTGTATTAAATCCACAATGCAGATGCCAACTTTTAAACTAGTTTATTGTTTAGTGTTCTCATGTGAAGCTTTAAAAATTAACCATGTGACCTTAAATAATGCTTAAGAATTACTAAATAAACTTACAGTCTTTATGCTGAGGACATCAATGCATCGAATATAAAGAAAATGTGTGACCATGTTCTCTCCACTTACTGGGCTCTAATCAGATTTGTTTGCTTGTCTTGATTAAATATTCTTAAACATGGAAAACAGCATCTATTTTTGTTTTAAATAAAATATGAGATATAGTTTACATACAATAAAATGTGATTATTTTAGGTTTACAGTTCAATGATTTTTTAAAATAAAATATATATACTCATAGAGTCTTAATCAACACGTAGTACATTTCTACAACTCCAAAAGTTCCTTTTATGCCCCTTTGCAGACAATAACCCTCTACTCTCAGATCTAAGCAATCACTGATCTGATTTCTACCATCACGGATTACTATTGCCTGTTCTATAAGGCCATATAAATGAAATTATACACTATACAATCTATTGTTTCTGGCTTTTTGCTCAGTATAATGTTTTTGAGACTCATTCATATTGTGATGTCGTTTCTTTTTATTTCTGAGTGGTGGTACATTGTGTAAATGTACCATAATTTTTACCATTCACAAGTTAATGGATATTTGTATTATTTTCAGTTACTAGTTATTATGAATAAAATGGCTATAAATGTTTGTGCCCATGTCTTTTGATGTCACCATAAGTTTTTACTTATTTGGGGCAAATATCTAGGAGTGAAATTACTGGTGGGTATATATTTAACTTTGTAAGAATCTGCCAAACTCTTGTCCAAGGTGGTTATAACGTTTTACTCTTCTACCAGCAGTGCATGAGTCCTAGTTGCTCCACATCTTTTCCAACACTTAGTATTATCATTTTCTATTTCTTTTTTTTTTTTTTTTTTTTTGAGACGGAGTCTCGCTCTGTCACCCAGGCTGGAGTGCAGTGGCCGGATCTCAGCTCACTGCAAGCTCCGCCTCCCGGGTTCACGCCATTCTCCTGCCTCAGCCTCCCGAGTAGCTGGGACTACAGGCGCCTGCCACCTCGCCCGGCTAAGTTTTTGTATTTTTAGTAGAGACGGGGTTTCACCGTATTAGCCAGGATGGTCTCGATCTCCTGACCTCGTGATCCGCCCGTCTCGGCCTCCCAAAGTGCTGGGATTACAGGCTTGAGCCACCGCGCCCGGCCCTCTATTTCTTTTTAATATTGCCCAGTCTAGAGAGCCTGTAGCGAGTCTAGAGAGTGTCTCAAGGTAGTTTGAATTTGCATTTCTCTAATGACTAATGCTGTTAAACATCTTTTCATGAGCTTATTGGGCATTCTCTTCTCTTGTGAAATTGCTACTCAAATATTTTATATGTTTTTTTAAAAATTGGTTTATAATCTGAATTGAGTTGAATTATTAGAGTTTTTTATATATTCTGAATATAAGACCTTTGTCAGATATATATATTTCAAATATTAATAGTTGCTTCTCTAGGTGTGTGGCTTGCTTTTCTGTTTTTTTAACATTCTGTTTTGCGGAGCAGGTTTTAGTTTTGATAAAATTTATCAATTTATTCGTTTTATGGTTTGTGTTTATTGTGTCATAAGAAATCATTGCATATCATAAGATTGTGCAAATTTATTCCAGGAATTTTCTAGTTTTAGTTTTTGTGTGTAAGACTATGATTTATATCAAATTTATTTCTTTGTATGGCATTCCATACAATTCAGCTGTTTTAGCACCATTTGTTGAAAGACTATTTTGCCCCATTAAATTATTTTGGCAATTTTGTAAAAATTTGATTGACAAACTAGTGTAGATCAACTTAAAAATTATTTATTCTGATTCATTGGTCTATATGTTTACTATAATGCCCATATCACAGTGACTTGATTATTGTAGCCATATAAGAAGTCTTGAAGTCAGGCAGTCACAGTCCTCAAAGTTTGTTATTAAGTGCTTTCTGCTTTTTTCAAAATTCTTTTAGCTTTGTTAGTTTCTTTGCATTTTCTACATAAATTTTAAAACCAGCTTGTCAATTTCTACGAAAATATTCCATTGAGAGTTTAAGATTGCATTGAATCTGTAGATCAATTTAGAAAACATTGACATTAGAACAATGTCAAGACTTCCAATCAATGAGCATGGTCTATCTCTCCATTTATTTAGATCTTTCATAATTTTTTTGGAATATTTTGGCTGGGCGCAGTGGCTCATGCCTGTAATCCCAGCATTTTGGGAGGCCGAGGTGGGCAGATCACCTGAGGCCAGGAGTTCAAGACCAGCTTGGCCAACATGGTGAAATCCTGCCTCTACTACAAATACAAAAATTAGCCAGGCATGGTGGCACGTGCCTGTAGTCTCAGCTACTCAGGAGGCTGAGGCAGGAGAATCACTTGAACCGGAGAGATGGAGGTTGCGGTGAGCTGAGATGCACCACTGCACTTTAGCCTGGGGGACAAGAGTGAGACTGTCTCAAAAAAAAAAAAAAAGAAAAAGAAAATATTTTGTAGATTTTAGCATACATATCTTGGCCATATTTTGTTAAGTTTATGCAAAATTATGTTGATTTTTTGAAGTTATTGAGAATATGTTATTTCTTAAATTTTTTCCCAATCATTTCTAGTATATAGGCATACAATTAATTTTTCTGTATATTGATGTTTCTGTAAAGTTGCTAAATTCATTAATTAGATACAGTTGTTGTTTTGTAGATTCTTTAGAATTTTCTAATATATAATCACATCATCTGCCAATACCTTTTTTTCTTTCTTTTTAATCTATAAGTCTTTTATTGATTCTCCTTGCCATATTTAACTGGCCAAGAACCCTAGGACAATATTTATTAGAAGTGTTTAGTACACATTCTTGTTTTGTCCCCAATTTTAGAGGAAAAAATATTATATTTTACCAAGAAGTGTTTTTTTTTTTTAATTTTCTTAATTCAGAGATGGGGTTTTGCTATTTTGGCTAGGCTGGTCTCAAATTCCTGGCCTCAAGTGATCTGCCTGCCTCAGCCTACCAAGAAGTATTATATCAGCTGTAGATTTTTCATATATGGTCTTCGTCAATTTGAAGTTGCTTGGGTTTTTGACAGTTTGTGATATAAGTAGGAAATTAATTTCACCAAATGCATTTTCTTCCTATATTGAAACAATCATATTATTTTCTTTATATTTCATTAATACATAAATTATATTGCTTGATTTTCCAATGTTATAACAACCTCTCACTTCTTTCACAAATTCCACTTAGTTATAGTATATAATCATCTATACATATTACGGGATTCTCCATGACCACTTTGTTAAGGACTATTTTGTCCATGCTCATCAGTGGTACTGTTCATAATTTTCTTTTCTTGCAATGCCTTTGTCTGATTTTGCTATCAGAGTCATGATGGATTCATAAAATGAGTTTGAAAGTGT